TAGAATCAGTTTAAAAGCTAAATATGATTTTTTTTTTTGTCATAGTACCCCCAAGAATTTAAAACTACTTTCACCCCTGGTTATGACTAACTACTGGTAAACATGAGACAGAATATTAGAGCTTCAGTGACATCTTCATTAAATCCCTATGACCCGGTCACCAGGTCACGTCTGCTCCTGTACGGGGAACAATATTAACATTACTGTTGGAACTTAGCATCTTTGTTGCTATATTCAGAAAAGTTTCAAAATCAGTATTGGCAGCTAAAGCTTTTTAAAGATCAGCCAGAAAACTGCGATCAGTGCACCCCCGAATCCAAAAATGAGATTTGAGTAAGTATGTATTTAATTATATATATTCCAATCCAATCACTGTACTCACCAGTGCTCAGGGTATATACTGTGCTGTCTGATGTACTTGCTGTTCTGTACAATATTTTGCTGTCCAGACCTAAGAAGAATAGAAAGCACACATCAGTAAAAGTTCAAAGAAAGAAGCAGAGAAATAAGCTCAAGAAGAAGAGAAACTGATGGCTTGAATTGGAATAGTTTAAAATATTATCTTCTAAAAAAAGATGGATCCAGGACATGTGGTTTTCCTTTGGTGGTTATGTAGCAGCATACACAGTAGGGCTTCAACAGAGAAACAGGTCATTTGACAATGTTAATAGATTAGAAAGTATTTCTGACCGACTAGCTTGAAAAAAAATGGGTTTAGACAGTTTGCATCTAGCAGGCAGTTCCTGGAGACACGTCTGTCTGTCAGGTAGGAGTGAAAAGCACACAGCGTGTGTGGAAGAGGCAGTTCTACAGCACAGCTCTAGTATTTCTGTTTTCCATTCAGAGACAGTTTTTCTGTCATCCTTTTACTGAATGTCAATAATTCCACTTTACCACTGTTGGAGTGAGCAATAGGGAACATGGGATAACAAAATTATCTGCACAAAGCCGTAGTAAAATGCCTTTTTAACTAGAGTGTACTGATTAAACATTAGCTGAATTTATAGAAAGAAATCACAGTAAGAAGCTTGTGGCTTTAGTTCTGTTAGAGCTGCAATATTATTTCAGTGATTCTTGAGGGACACAATGGGTCCTATGGATAAAGCACAAAATTTGAATAAAATATACACAAAATATATTTTTTTCAAATATCTAACTCAACTAACCTGGGTCATGTGAGCACAACAATGTATATTTTCCAGGTGTTTGCTGAATATTTTTTTATTTTAAACATTGTAGTAGGTGGATGGTGTCTGTAAAAGCCCTTGTCCAGGAGCAGAACTCAATACATTGTAATAGTTTAAAATAATTAAAGAAATACTAAAATTATATATTGTGACAATTAAGTATAAATAGTCATATAAATGATTATAGAGGTATCAATAAATTGAATTAAAAATCATTTTTATATATTTTCCAACTCCACTGAAATTTGTCCCTAGTTTTTGTCAACACCGTCAGACATAAACAGAATGTAAAAAAAATCAGGCATTATTGGGGGGCACCAGAACTTCTGAGGACCCCATGACCTCTTCCTTTCTCTTCCTTTGCTAAGAGGCTACGCAGTTCTGGTTAGCATATGCTATTCTTTAGTTTTTTTCTTCCGTTTTATTCCTAAGTTGTTCATCACAACCATAATGCGTCAACTCCATAACTGACAATTTACAAAACTTTGATGAAATTTTGTGAAATAAAAGCTTAATTTTGGTTTACTGTAAAGATTTCATGGACCTGATGAGCTACAATATGGCCT